ATTAAGGACTGCAATTAGGGAAGAGATTGTTGCTATTGAATAAGAACACTTTTACGTTGTTCTGTTAAGGAATCTGAAACGGTACGTTGATAGAGAACAGAATATTATTTGGACTGAGCCACTGAGGTATTTAGTGTCCACCATAAATCATGAATAGAGATTTCTAAAAACAAAAGATCTCTTGATGCTTTCAGAGTCAGAGGGCTTTCCCTTTTCCTCTTACGTGATTCCAATGTGATGACGGTGCAACTAATGGAATTTTCGAAATTCGGTTAGCCATGAAGGTTCGCCAGCGTGTGGGTTCTGATTGTATCCATGACAAAACATCGTTGAATCACTCATGCGTAAATATCATCTAACTGAATTTGTAAATAATTCTGCTCAGCTTGAACCAAATGCACTAATAGAACGACAGAGTAGATTTTTAAATGAGGAATAGAAATTACTGTTAGGGGAATTGAGTTTTGAATGTTAGTAGCTGCACCGAAGCTGAAGAATTTTAAACTGCGGCGTAAGATGTTTCTGATACGTCACAGAAGCAATGATGTTCTACATTTGTAGCTATGGGCTATAATACCCTTCTAGGAATGCGAATGCATTTAAGATTCGCGGTATCTTCACAGTAGATTCTCCATCCTTAATTGAGTTCATGTAATAAGGGATCATTCCGTGAGAGGGTAAGTAAGGGATCATTCCATGTAATTTCCATGTATCTGAAAGCAAGATTTTTGTAGCAACTATGAAAGGTGCTAACTAACCAAGTGGATCAAAGATTTTTGAAATTAGAAGACAAAATCATTCTTTTAGTAGAATCCTCATTATTCTCGAGATTTTCAAAATCACAAGTAAACCCATCTTGCGCTGTATACCACTCCAAACCCAATAATTTTACTGACTGCGTATCAACAATTGTACTTGAAGAATTAGTGTTCTAAGCTTTCAATGGAATTTCTAAAATCGAACGATCATTTGTATACCATTTATGGAATTGAAAACCATCCTTTTGTAAATTTAATTCTGCTGCGTTATCTACTGTGTCTGAACCATCATCAATATAATAATTATGCAATATTACCTTAGCTGCCTGTAGGAATTTAGCCCCTTCGTGAATTATTAGTTGTCTGAGTACGCGAGTAGCCAAGTATGAAGCTGAAGTAGTGCCCTACGTAACTGTGGAACAACCTGTACGTTATGATGGGCTTTCATGGATCATCTCTCCAAAATTATTTTTGGTAATCGCGATAATCATCATGAATTTGAACTTTTTCAGTAAGTCAATAGTAATCGCTATGGGACAGCATCTGAACCTGAAAAGAATAGTAAATAACTCTTCTCGTATCTTGGGGTCATTCATAAAGGTGTCATTAAGCATTGTAGTCCTGGATGCAGGTTTAGCACTAGCATTGAAAACGACGAGTGGTTTTGTCGTAAAACTCGATTTCTTTAGCACGTGAAAATGAGGTATATAGAAATGCTCATTTACTTTATCTAGATTATCATTGGATAATTCGTTCATGTGCTTAAGAGATAAATATTCGCGCGTTATGGGTTTCACATAATCTTTCTTCATTAGTTAAAGGTTTCGATGTGGGAATTTGTTCCAAATCCCAAAATGATTTAAGTGATGATCTCCTCAGTGTTTATGCTTAGCGTATTGATTGAAACTTGCTCATGTTTGCAAAATGCTCAACTCACAATTTATCGTTCCAGCAGTCATCCATCCTAACTTAGAACTGTAGAGTCATTAGGCTAATTGGAAGCAGGAAAGATGAAAAATACGCAACCGCCTTCGCCGGGAATCGAACCACGGACCTATGGAATACCGCCCCAGTGTGCAGAACCACTACACCGCGAAGACTCGCTAGGGAAGTGGGAGAAATACCTTATGTACTCCCCTTTTTAAAGGGTGACTAGGGTTTTAGGGGACCTAGTCGCCAAATCCTGGGTGTGGAGATTCATCATCCACAACCCTTTTAGTTCGGGCGCCACTTGTAGAGTTATTAGGCTAATTGGAAGCAGGAAAGATGAAAAATATGCAACCGCCTTCGCCGGGAATCGAACCACGGACCTATGGAATACCGGCCCAGTGTGCAGAAACACTAAACCGCGAAGACTCGCTAGGGAAGTGGGAGAAATACCTTATATACTCCCCTTTTTAAAGGGTCACTAGGGTTTTAGGGGACCTAGTCGCCAAATCCTGGGTGTAGAGATTCATCATCCACAACCCTTTTAGTTCGGGCGCCACTTGTAGAGTTATTAGGCTAATTGGAAGCAGGAAAGATGAAAAATATGCAACCGCCTTCGCCGGGAATCAAACCACGGACCTCTGGAATACCGGCCCAGTGTGCAGAACCAGTGCACCACGAAGACTCGCTAGGAAAGTGGGAGAAATAACTTATAGAACAAAGGTAAAATGAAAGGTTTTCGTTCCTTTTAATTATTTCTCCATTGATTAAAGTTAAGAACACGTTAACATCTAGCAAAATATCAATTTTTCTCGATTCATAAAATGTAGGTTCTGCTAAGGTTGAATCTTGGAAACTTTCATATGAATTCAAAGGTAATGTTACATTTGGAATGTTTCATGTAATTCTGTCTGTTATGAAAGAGGACTAGCTAGTATTAAAATGAGGTGTAAACAACAAGTCGACTTCTGCAGTAGCTGTCGTATTGAAAGTTCCTGAACATGAAATTAATATCTTCGAATCTTTTATGCTTAATCCTAAAGTGATAGCTGTTTTCCGACGAATGAACAATTTTTCACTACCTGAATCTAGCAAACATCTACAATTTATGAATTTATTTTTTGAGTTTTGTCCCTAAATTTATGTAAAATTTAGCGACATACAGTCATGTACAAAAGTACATGACTGTGTTTACCATTAGCACGAGCTCCAAAATAGTTATTTTCATAGCTGTGCTCACAAACATTTGGATAAAACTCACAGAAATTGTGTTATGTTTTTATTTTCGACTTCCCGTAAAAATAAAATAATAATAATAATAATAATAATAATAATAATAAATAAAAAAAAAAAAAAGAAGAAGAACAAAGACTTCCCGTAAAAGGAGATTAGATGCATTTTTGGTTTGAAATTATTTTCTAGATGGAAAATGCTATGGAATGGTGCAAACATTGGAAGGTGTCCATTAATGCGAAAAAATCCCTACAACTAATAATTAGAAAAAGTATACAGAAGGACGTATTCACAAATTAAACTGCCATCTTCCTTTTCTTACTCTAGTTTCTTAAGTTGATAAGGCCTTATGATCAAGATCAAACTGTTACCGGACGTTTATTTACTAGACGACACATCTTTAAGCACGCAAATCATTTTTCCATACGAATCCTCGTTTGGGCTTCAGTTACCGAAAGACAGTTCTACCCGCTGTAAATACTGAAAAATAGGTTGGTTCCTAAAGATGGTTCCTACTGACCGCCGTATTTTATTAGAAACAAGACTTTTCATCGAAACCTCAAAACAGAGCCACCTATAGCGAATTAATGAGCAGTTCTTCACAAAAGCGAAGCCTTGTGACTTAGTGAAGAGACAAAATCTGGAATTTGTGGTGATTATCATTTTAAGTCGTATGCCAATACGACGACGAATAATCAATGTGGTGATTATATTTTAAGTCGTATGATTAGAAGCCTCTTTTTGTGAATTCTAAGCCTCTTCCTTCGCTTTAAACCTTCGAGGATGTTATCCCATAGGCTTTAGTCTCTTTTCTCCTTTCTATTCCCAGCTTCATGCTATTGAGCTCAACTTCAGATGCTTTCATTGCCATTAATATACTTACTTTAATTACACTAGTAAGCACTTCTTAGTGGACTCTAGTGTATCATAATAGTAGCAAAGTTGTAAGGTATCAAACGTTTTGCTTATGTTAAAATCCATCTTATTGTTCCATCTGTTTTCACTAGAATATGTAAATAAGAGCCACCAGAATATGTAAATTATTACCAGAATATGTAAATAAAAGAAGTTTAAATCCGAGTAAGAACGTCAAAGAATAAAAGTTTTCATCGCGAGTGACCTTAAAGGACTTCTTCGATTCTACTTGACTTGCGCGTAAAATCTCTGAGGTAATAAGTTTCTTTTTTGCTGTTTCATAATAAGCATAATTTGTGAATTTTACCTAGTCAAAAGCTAGGCTAGAAATTCACTTTTAAATGCAGACTTTTTGTGTTGTCTCTGTTATTCTCGTGAGAAGCGGAAGTAAGTTCGTGATAAATTTGTTTTGTATTTCCAGCTAAAGTCTTAAAATATATTTTATTGCTTTTATTATATTGTGTCCCTTTGGAATTCTAAGAGTATAGTAGAAATGAAACGAAAACTCATTATTCATTCTTGTATTTTAAACTAGTTTTAGTTAAGCAAAAGTGAGTTTTAAATTTATATGTGCAGTTTGAAATTATATACTGTTATAATACTTTGTTTAAGTTAGTAATTCGTTCAAGTATGTATTTTTTGTTTTATTGTAAATCAGATATTCTATTGTGGTCGTATTTTTACACTTACACATAATATGTTTGTATATGTTTGTTTGTATTCTCTTTTACAATGCTTTTAAAACTATGAAAGTGTTTTATGATTTGAGATCACCAAATAGCTTAAAATTTTAAAGTAGCTCATTTAGTTGCATCTATTTGCCCTTAGAAACTAGTTATGGCTTTAATATCAATGTAATTATAACATTAATACTGCAGTTACCTGCTAATAGTTTCAATTATCAGTTCATTAATACTAAATTTTTGTGCATATTTTGATTTATTTTACTTAATAAGCGTTCTCAACCTATTTTTATGATATCTGTTTTATGTAAACACAGTATTTTACAAGTATTTGAGGACTTTTATATCCTGTTATAGTTTAGCACAATTTCAAATAATGATTTTAATTAATTATAAGCTAAAAGTGTTTAAATAAACTTAATTTTTGAATAAATTGGATAAAAGTGAATTGACATTCTTGTATACGAAAACAATTTCTTACAAATTTTTCATAAACTTTTTAATATTTTAAAAAGATTATCAGACCTTTAATATTTTAACAGCAAGTACACAATTATTTTAACTATTTTAACGAAATGACAGCAACAAGCTTATACAAGCATTACAAAAATCACATAAATTTAATCACCTCTCAACTTCGATTGAAATTTCTCAGTTGAGGAATTGAAGGTATCAAGAGCGTGGAAATATTGACGAGTAAGACGAATTATCACAAAATTTCTCCCTTTGACTTAGTACAAAATTGTTCGGAGAAATAACACCAGAGGACACTATTCTGTTGATGTCATGAATTTTGCCATCATTTATAGAGTTGTTGAAGCTATCATATACTGGAAGTAATGGTGATGTTATTGCTGTGATAGGATGATGGCCTAGGGGAAGAAAAAAGAAACCATTTAAATTGTATTCGTAATCTAAAGCAGTGGTATTAAACTCAAATTGCATGTGGACCGTATTCACAATCTGAAAACAGCTGACAAGCTGGATATTTTTTTTTAACAAAGTGAAAAATGTTATTAATAAATAAATAATATTTTAAATAAATTCTAAATTTTGCTTACTAAATACTTATTAAAATATACATTAACAACAATAATAACATAACAAAAGGAAAAAATTCAAATTTATGTTTATTTTCTATCTGAAATCTAAAGGTACAAGATGTTGTTGGTTACACTATATAATTCAAATATACTGACAAATAAATATTGAATGATATTTCTTTCAAATTATTCTAACATGTTTAATGAGTTATGAAATTATTTACTTTATTTTAACTGAAAATAAACAAACTACGAAAACTTTCTGAGAAAAAATTACGAAATGGGACAAAACTTAGAAATAAATAATAACAATCTAATCTCTTTCGCTTATTAATCCAAACGGGCAATTTGCCCAGAAGGACTATTAATTTCGTTTTGGAATTTTGCGTTGATTCACTTTTTAAATTGTTGCCACTAAATATTATCACCTTGTGTTATATTTAAAGAAATTAAATAATGAAGTATCTGCATAAATGTATGTATGTTTCTCGCATTCTGATAAAGCAACGGTACACTTAAAAAAATTCTATAAGGTTACTAAGAAAACTAAATAACAGGTGTATTCGTTGTAACTTTACAAGAATTATGCCTGTAATGGTTACAGATCTCTTTCTTGTAATATCACAGCATATAGTTATGTAAGTAAAACATATTTTTCTAATGTAAAATTATCAGGTTCAATGTTCCTTCTAACCTTCTTCGGGAACATACAAGGACCTGACTCGGAACAGAGAGCTCACTAAAGCTATGTTCACTAATTGTTGTAAGTAGACAGGATACAGACGAAGGGTATACAAAACCCTTTATTTTTCTCTATATACAATAACTTCCGTACTTCGGAATACACTGACCCTCCACTCGGGGTCTAACGTAAAAAATGTATAAAAAATAAAACTAAACTCTAATTCAACTTTAGAATAATACACGTGGAAGATTGGCCTTATAATAACAGGAAGCATATGTAGCAAAGAGACTGTGAACACTACAATACGTTTAATTTATCAAGAGGATTAAAACCTCTGGCCTGGAAGGCGAACAGCAACTGCGTAACTTCTAAGGTAGGTGGCCTGCGTTGACTTACTGCTTCCTCTCTCTCGCTTGGCAAAAAGCCACAACTTAAGTACTTGGCGTTCGCCAGACAAACTTTGCATAAAAACCTTCACGCTTATAATTCTGGACGGAAGTAGAAAATAAGAAGTGATAGTAAAGATTTAAAATAAAATAAACGTTAGTAAAACTTAAGATCCTTACATACTTCCCGCCAGAGTTAATTAGTTTGAAACTGAGGTCTAAAACGACCTTGTTGAAAACTTTTAGCTCTAGAATCTAACGCGAGGCCAACCTTTTACAAACATAACTTCGTTAGAAACTAGAAAATTTAAAAGAAAGAAATTTGTTTACAATAGCAGCTCCCAGGATATACAACAATCTTTTTTTCATCTGTACTGTACTGCATCTAACCAGGAGCTTTATTCAATTCTGGTTCCTTCCAGAGATCTGGAAGGAAACTAGTTTAATGAAATGTTACACAATGACATGGCAAGTAACATATAGAATTATACTGCTCTTAACATTCTTATTTCATTCATGACTATTTTAATTATCTCTCCCCGTGCTCTCTGACATGTGTTGTAAAAGAACACCAAACACGAATGTGTTTCTGTGTTTCTGTCTACGTGTGCCACACTTCCTCCTACAATCAAAACACTAACGTGTTAAAATTCAACATAACGAGACCTCTTAACACACCCTACTTTCAACTCTAAACCCTGAGGTACTATTCTAAAAGTGGCTAACTCTAAAGTGTAGCGTCAGAGAGCCTAACTACATCATTCAACCTTTACCACATATTCGCCATGATTTAATTTAATCTTTACAGTCACACGAATAACAAATTTTTAACATTACTTTCACTTTTACCATATCACGGTATTTCTTAACATTTAAAATAACAGTTCACATGTATATAAGAACATATCAACATGTCGTTAATTTTACAGATTTGAAAACATACATTAGTAGTACATTGTTAACTTCTATTCTTTTCAAAGCAAGTGCCAATTCTTTCTACATTGAAATAATACTACATTTCAAAAAGTCATTCAGACTAAAACTTCTTTCTTGCTAGAATGTTTTAAATCAAATTTATACAATAACTTTTTACAATATTTAAGTCTTTACACTACGCTATTATACATCAACTTTAGTTTTACGCACGAGTAATTTAAAAACATAATACGAAAATCGGTCACAACTCATTTCTCGCCCTTTTGGCGATAAAGGTAGACCTCGCATGAGGTAAAACTTCTTGAAATCTGCCACTTGCAGTAAGAATGAAAGATTAACTTAAGTTTGCAAAGTAACATAAAATTTTACTTATCTTTGTAATATTCGGACATCCTTTTCTCGCCCAGTCTTTAAAGGTACTGCAGATAGTAGCTTGGTTTATCCTCCTTCTTGTACGGGCTCGCCCTTCAGTGCTTTCCTCTGGAAGCTTCCGTTTTTCACCAGTTCGGCCACCCTTGAACACCTTCCTTTTCTCCTCTGCTTGTGGTCTTGGCCGTTTGAAGGCAGCTGGTCTTGGCGGAACCGGGAAACTTCTGTCGTGATCCTGCTTGGACCTCGTTGTTGGCCGTTCAAATTTTCCTTGTACTTTTTCCTCCGCCGCTGATGGCCCTTCCGCAGTTCGGCGACTTTTGCTGCGGAGAGTTCTGTCGGATGAGTAGATCTTCCGTTTTTAAAGCCGGGTTATAGTTGCCGTCATTTCTCCTGGTCCTCTTCACATACGTCGTCCTTCTCCCTTCTTCATTCTGGGGGTGTTCGTGAACTCTGTTTTCTGGACGGTGGAACGGCTTCTTTTTCTTGTACCTTCCATTTTTCCGCGGGGCAATTTTTTTTTCACTTGCTTCTGTCTCTCATTGGCTTGCCCTTGTACTTGTCGTTTTTCACCTCTGGAACTTGTACCTGCGGTGTCTGCCGTGCCGGATCCTGCAAAAGATCTGAAAAATTTGCATTTTATTACGATCGAAGTAGGGCTTGATTTGATCAATGTTTGCGGAACAGGTTTCACCATTTCTGGCTTTTTAACACTACAACAGCGTGAGTTATTTTTTTCTATAACATATGGTCCTTCAAATCGTGGAAAAAATTTGGCAGTTTTTATCTTCTGGTGCTGAAGAAAGTGAATGCTTAATTTTTAAAACTTCATCCCCTACTTTATAAGTTACTCCCCGTCGTTTCAAATCATAATATAATTTCTGTTTTCTTTGTGCTACTTCCGTATTCTTTTTTGCTTCTTTTATTAGTTTTTCTATATCACCCATTTTAAATTCTGGGGCTCTTTGTTGCACATAAAATAAGTTTATCTAACGGTGTTATAATCTTTCTGCCTAAAATAACTCAGCAGGAGTTTTGCCCGTTGTATCATGTTTTGCGGTCCTAAGGGCGAAAGCAAATTCATTGACATAGTTATCCCAGCTTTTTATGAAAATTTTTAACATAACTACGGATAATTTTCACTATATTTCTGTTGACCCGTTCCGCTATATTTGATTGCGGCCGATACGGGACCATTTTTAAATGACGTATGCCCAGTTTTTGGCACATGTCTTCAAATATATTACTTACAAATTGAGGACCATTATCCGATATAACTTTTAGGGGCGCCCCGTATTTTAAAATATATTTATTTAAAATAGAATCGGTAACTAATTTTCGCGGAGGCTCGTTTTAAGGGAACAATTTCGGTCCATTTACTAAAATGATCAACCATAACAAGGAGATAGCGACTTTTATTTAACTGACTTTTTGGGAAAGGGCCCAATAAATCGATGCCAATTATTTCATTTGGAAATTCGGATTTAATACTATTTAGAAACCCGGCCGGGCGGAAATTAATATAATTAACTGCTTGACATGTTGGGCAGGACTGGACATACGCCCTTGTTAACTTTTGCAGTTCAGGAAAGTAGACTGCCTCGCGTACGCGTTGGATAGTTTTTTCGAATACCAGCAGCATGAGAAGCTAAAGGGCTGTCATGGAGCTCCTGCAGGATATTTAATCTAAGACTAGCTGGGATAACAGGTCGAAATTCGTTGTTGGAATTCGTAGTTTTTGTATAAAATAATAGACCATCTATTAGTTCGTAATGGGCCGCCCTATTTCTTATCGCCACAATATCTTGGTGGCTAAAATTTTCAGGATCCTTCAAATACTCATAAATACTTCCAAACTCAGGATCCTTACCCAGTTCGGTTATTACAGTTTCTCGGGAATTTATTGTACACGCTGTAAGCATTGCAACTTTTACGGTATTACCCTGTTCGTCTAATTTAATTCGTGATAGGGCATCTGCTACGATATTTTCCTTTCCGGGGGTATGCTTGATTACCAGATTATATTCTTGCAGCTTGAGTGCCCATCTTATTAACCTTGGGGATAAAATTTTCCCTGAGTACAATCTAGTTACCGCCGCATGATCAGAGTAATACTGTTATCGGCGCCTTTCCAAAATAGACTCGGAACTTTTGCACTGCTAACAGAACTGCAAGTGCCTCTCTCTCTCGGTCGCGGAATAGTTTTTCTTTGTGTTTGATTTAAAGTTCGGCTAAAAAATGCCACGGGCTGCTGATTTTGCGAAAGTACCGCTCCTACCGCATAATCCGAAGCATCCGCTGAAATTTCTAAATTTCTCATCCTTTTCAGGAAATTTCAACACAGGGGCTTGCGTTAATGCTTGTTTTAATTTTTCGAAAGCACTATTGGCTTCGGCCGTCCACGAGAATCTTGCCTTTTTTCCTTTTTAATTTTAACAATGGCTCAGCGATAG